GCTGCTACTTGTCTTTGGATAGTATTAGGGGCTAACCCTTTATCCAGACTCTCTTGCAAGAAGTGCAGGATCTGAGGGTGGAGATTGCTGTGGGATCCAGACCTGACTTAACACCAACTACAGAATGCCTTCCAAGTAAAATTGTAAATTATGTTGGTGGAAGGCCTCCTGGAAGCCTGTATCATTTGAATCACCCTTCTTGAGAAGTTGTCCCTCGTCAGGAGCTGCCTCTCAAGTGCCAGGAGGTCAGTTGGAGCCACTGAGGCTCCAGATAGACCAAGACCCCCTGGCTGAGAGAGATCTGTCTTGAGGGATTCTCCAAGGCTGGGACACAGAGTCTGATGAGGTCTGCAAACCATGGCCATCTGGGCCAATGGGGCAGTCACCACTCTGAGTGATCCACCATGCTCCAGCTGAGAAAGTCTGCCTGCACGTGTGCCAACCCCGAGATGTATTCCACCTTGATGGAACTCAGGTGAGTCTCTGCCCAGAGAAATAGTTGGTCCACCTCGTGCATGAGAGACCTCGAATGGGTGCCCCCCTGGCGGTTGATATGCGCTTTTGCGGCCACATTGTCTGTCAAAATCAATAGGTGTTGTCCCTCTACCGTGGCTTCAAAGTGACAAAGGGCAAGGTGGATAGCTCGGAGCTCCAGCCTGTTGATGTTGTTCTTCAGATCTGCCTGAGACCATTGTCCTTGAGCCAATTGTTGTTGGAGATGGGCCCCCGATCTGAAAAGGCTGGCACCTGCGGTCAAGGTCAGATGGCTGGGCTCCTTGAATAGTGTTTCCCTGGCTATCGCTGAGGATACTCACCACCACCCGCGATGAGGGACTCTGAGGGACCTGAGAGTCTCTAATGGAACCCTGACTTTGACTCTGGAATTGCTGCTCCCTTTCCTCTGGAATGGTAGGAGGAACCATTGCAGAGTCCTTAGGCAATCTGGCCCATAGAACAATGGCTATGCAAGATACCATCTTTCCCAGGAGTTGAGAGAGAACTAACAATGGAACCAAGCATTCCGTCCTGATTTGAGTGACCAAGGACTTGATACTGTCCTGTCACTCCTAGGAAAGGTAGACCTCACACAGCCTGGTGTCTATCACTGCTTCTAAACGGAGCAGTCGAGTGGTCAGAACCAGGTGACTTTTCTGAAAATATATGGAGAATCCATGTTCCTGAAGAATATGGATTGTAGTCTCTAGATCCTGCTGGGCAAACTGGGATGAGAACGATTGGATGAGAATATCATCCAGGTAGCACTGGAGACAGCACCGGGATGGATCTGAGGTGTGCCACCAGTGCCACCAGGATCTTTGTGAATGACCTGGGAGCTAAGGCTAAACCGTAGAGCTCTGTACTGGAAGTGAAGATCCGAGTAACAGAACCTGAGATATCGTCAATGCCAGGGATGGATGGGGATGTGGAGATAAAGCCACAATGACAGGAGGTTGCTCTCTGATGCTGTCCAAGATTTACTGCAGAGAGTGCATTTTGAACCTCTTGTACATCAAATGGACATTTAACCTTTTGAGGTCCAGAATTGGCCTCCATCCCCCGAGGCCTTTTGAACAAGGACAATTGAGTAGAATCCATGCCCCCGTTGATCTTCCGGAATTGGCTCGATGGCCTGGATCTATACACCAAGTCATCCAAAGAAATAGTCGAAGTATAATAAATAGAAAAAAATGATAGAGATGAAGGACAGGAAATCAAATCTAATTAAATCAAAGCAATATTTGATAAATAGATTGGTTGAGATGAATGTTTCTGCCATGGTCAAGAGGAAGAAAATTATGCTTTTTGCTTTTGTGAATGTCCTTTTTTTAAAAAAAGAATGAGTTACTTTTTTAATATGAGAATGGAAGCATGTCTCCCACCAAAATTTATTTCTGCTCAAGAGTTTTCCAAATGGAACTCTATGCCGAAACAGATGCTATATACATTGTGCACAAACAATATGAAGAAAACATTTTGATAGAGGTTTTTAGAGACATTGAACTGAAAATAATTCACTGAAATAAATCTTAATCTTACTCCATTTTTTTCTCTGTTCTCCTTGATGTTTATTGTATACGGTTCCAATCAGTTGCATTTTTAGTTATCAGTACCATAGCAACAGCACAAATTATTGATATTTCTAATTTTAAAATCACAACTCTAATTTTGAAATTCAATGCCCTTAATATATATTGAAACTATACTCAACATCTGGTTGAATAAATAAGGGAGAGTATATAAGACCCTGTTGTTAATACCTCATGCAAGGCGGTGATAATGCAGGTTTATAATGTATGGTACTACATATGTGTTTAAAGAAACATGCATCATGTAAAGGAATTGGGTCATCTTAATTTTTGAATTACAGACTATTATATTAATGTAGGAAAATACAGATCAATTGCAATTTGTAAGATTCAGGTTTTATCATGTGTAGTCATATACTTGTGACTTATGTGTGTTGGATTGTGTACATATAAGCTAAGTTCCTTTGCAAATGGGACTGTCATCCAGATGCTGAATGTATTATTACTTACGGTCTCAAAATAACTGCATAGAGCCAGACTAATACTTGGTAGGGTAACAATGAAGGTCATGGAAAAGATATACAGATTCCATTACATGTCTACATCTAGCAATTGTTTGCTAGCAATGGTTTTCCCTTGATACTCTATGGAAGCATATGTTGGATTCTGATGAAGCAGGATAGAAAGAGCACTGAAGCTTTTGAATATTGATGTTAGAGCCTGGGAATACTATGGAGATAAAAAAAAAAGGGAGCATAAAAACTAATCAATCTTCCCACTCAAGGCATAAATGACCAAATTATTAAATTTTGGACACAATATATGAAAACTAGTCCCTTGATAAATCTATAATGAGAAAGATAGAAGGAAAGAGCAGAAGAGGCGACTGCTACTAAGGTAGATGGGCTATTTACAATGGCAACTGATTCACCACTGGAAGATCTGAAGGGCCATGTTGGGAGAAGATCATTTAGTTGCATCATCTGATTCTAGCAGAAAGTCTATGTTGCTACTAATAGATATCAACTTGATGGAATATAATCAATATTTATGCACACAGTTTAAAGAGTTAATGACAATCAAATTGGATAAGGAGAGTAACTAAATGAAATGTATTAAATGTTTGATCCAAATATAAACTGAAACAAATACCTTTTGTCAGCAATGCACACGAGAACAAAATCCAAGCTAAAGATTATCAAGAGGGATGACAGTGGCATAAAGTGAAATTTCAGAAAGAAAAATTAACTATGGACCTAGAAATAAAGGATGCTGTATGAGGAAAAAAGATGCAATATGTATAAATATTAGAAATTTTGGAAGGTTCAAAACCAGGAATAAGAAATACCAAATTATTTAAACTTTCAATTTCCTATTGTGGTAAACAGAACCTGTGTATACATCAGAAATACACGAGTTCTATGTATAACGCTTATAAAGTTTCATTCTAAGACCCCAAGTCTATTCAAATTCCATATTAAAATAGAAGGCTATTAGTTATAGATCTTTAGAATACTTTTACATTGCATTCTAAGGATCATGCACTTTACAATTTCTCATCTTTTTTAGTGGATTTTTGAATTTTCACAGCAAAGGTAGAATAAAACAATAAATATTAAACTTGTAAGAATCCATCATGACAATTTAAATATTATTTGAAAAAAGTACAAATTAAGAGAGGTTGAAAGTACAGTGGTACCTCGGTACTCATCGTTAATTAGTTCTGGGAGGCATGATGAGTACCAAAAATGTAGCACACCAAACAAACTTTTCCCACAAGGAATAATGTAATGAGTAACAAGGTAGCCAACACCAATAAATTTGTGTATTGAGTACCAAACAAATGATGAGTACCAGGACAAAATTTTCACATCAATAGTGTTGAGTGTCAAGTTTGATGAGTTTCAAAGCAGTTGAATACCAAGGTATCACTGTAAAAGCAAATGTAGCTATATCCTTCATATTAAAATGAAGGACACAATTGAAAAAAAATGAATTAGACCTATGACTGATACCAATTTATAAAATCTGTAACAATAGAGAATGTTATGTGAAAATTGTTTTGAACTCTCATAAAATCAATATTCATTAACTAATGGAATCTATCATAAATATTTACACCCAACAATGCTACAATTTGAAATTCAAAGAAAAAAAACAGTAATATTACCTCCACAATCAAGACAATAACAATAATTCTAAGGCAAACTAAGAAAAGCAAAATAAAATACTTTAAGCAAAAAATTTAAATTCCCTGGATACTTGTAAATTCATATTAGACAGGTTTATAAAAAAAAATCAGTCAATCACAAAATGTTATCTCTTCAAGGTTTAATGCTACATAGAATCTGACAAAAGATATACACAAGTTAATCTGAGAAACAAAAACCACAGTTTGGTCAGATTTTTGAGGAAACCCCCCAATTCAGATTTACAGAATAAATATCTCCAAAATAAAATATCATAATTTAAAAGTAAATTGAAACTTACAGGCTGGGAGAGACAAAATTTTAATGAATTATAGAAAATAAATGTAAGACAGCTATTATTGCAAATGAATTTCAAAAGGATTTTTATTAAAATATGATATCTTCAATTACTAGATACAAACATCAAGGATCATAGACTAGATTAACTTTTTTATATAAAACAAATATTATGCTACATTTACACAATAGCAAAAAAATATCTGGGTGACATTTGTCCAAATATATTTTGGCTAAAATTATGGATATTCTTCAGGATATTCCCAAAATGAAAACCCACCTCTTTATTGTATAAAATTGGAGAATGAAACTCCAATCTTTAAACATTATGATGCACTGAATTTTATATGACTGTTAAAAAAAACACATTAAACAGTTCAAAAGATTAAATTTTAATCACTACTTGCATAAATGCAACCAGCCCAAAAGTAAAATTATGTATTTATGAAATGGAGGAATTGCAGTGTTGAATTCAACAAGTTCTTACCAGTTTACTGAAATGGTATTTACAATAACCACAGTATTGGACATTGTCTGCACCGTTACCTTCTTCTTCACAAAGAAGTCCTGCAAACTGTGCACTGAAAAAAACAAAATGAAAACAAAGAAAAACAGGAAGGGTCAGCTGCTGAAGATTGCAAGCATGGCTGCTTAACAAAATTCTGCAATTTGGTTGTTAACTGACCTTTTAATTTGGAGCAATTAAGCTGTAAAACTAATCAATAAAGTATCTATATGATATGTAAAAGGAAGCAGCATTTGAAGATAAATGGGGGGGGGAGGAAAGTTCCTTGAGATATTGCAACAGTAAAATACATCTATTATATGTAACTTGTCTAAATAACGCTGGGTGACTTGTGGCAACATAAACAGTCTGGCTTTCCACAACGGAAGCATTGATACATCCTAATGTTATTTATATGGAAAAAATTGTAAGATATAAAGATATTCTGAATGTAAAGGGGGAATTAAGAATTAAGCAGGAACTTAGTAGTCAAGGGATGGACATTGCACGGTGGCCACAAATGCAGATACAATCTCAATATGAGAAAGATGCTAAAATGTATGGTTTTAACAAAGAATTAACAGAATTGGACCAGATATTAACTGGAACGGATGAAAAACTGATTAAAAAATATATTGTTACTTATTAGGTATTAAACTTGAAAGTGAGCAAGTAAAGCAGACAATAATTGTTTGGGCTAAAAAATTTGGATATTCAACAGAATTAGACAAATGGCAGAAATTGTGGAACAGAAATGTTAAATTGACTATATCAACTGCAAATAAAGAACATTTTTATAAATGTTCTATAGATGGCATTTTGCACCAGCAAGACTAGCAAAAATGTAAGGATAGATCTGCTAAATGTTTGAAGTACAATCAAATACCTGGTTCATATTACCTATGTGGTGGACATGTCCAAAAGCCAAAAAATGGACAAAAATAAATAGTTGGTTGGAAAAAATGATAAAACAGCATATAGATATGAAACCAGAAATATTTTTATTGGGGATTCTGCTGGGAAAATATGACGAAGGGATTATATACTTGATTTTACACGTGTTAACTGCAGCTAGAATTGTATATGCTCAACAATGGAAGTATGATGAGATCCCAACAGATGAGAGAGTGTAATTAAGAAAATATTGGAATGTGCAGAAATGGATAGACTGACGCTTACTATTAAAGACAAAGAAGAAACTGAATACTTTTTGACATGGGACTTATTTTATCAATGGCTAGACAATAAAAACAGAAGTTAGAAATGTGGGGACATAAAAAGGATAAACGTTAAAACAGAAATTTGTTGTTAAAGTAGACGTTAAATATTATTGTTATTATAGTATTAATGTTTTGTGACAAATGCTATTGTAAACATTTTGATTACGATTGCCTAAAAACAATTGTACCCAGACAACACAGTTTGATTGAAATGGAATTTTTATGTTATACAAATAAAGTAAATAAAACATGGGGAAAAAAATAAACATATAAATTTATCTAGGTAACAAAGATAGCACAGGAAAAAAAAGGACTGTCCTTTCTGTTTACTTACCATGTAACATGGAAAGCTTGACGACATCCATGTTTATTACAGGTCATGCAAGCACCTGAAGCTGCTTTGCTCTCTCTGCCTTGCTCTTCACATATATAACATGTCTATTGGGAAAAAATAATACTGTAATTAGTATGCAATTTGCTTTAAGCAGGCTAAAACTTGACAACAAAACTAAAGAGTAAACACTGAACAGTTCTTCTGATTTCAAATATGTTACTTTACATTGAATGCAACCTCCATCTCATTATTCTGTAAGTGTTCCCAGTTGTGTATCACATAGGAATCTCCACACAATAAACTGTTTCTACTACTGACCCCACCTAGCACCGGCAAATACATCCATTTACTTGATCGTATGGTAGATTTCCACACTTAAATATATAGTCCAAGAATCCCAGACATCTGTAGTTATGAAAATCTTTGAAAGATTAATGCTGGCCCACTTGAAAATCATATGGATCCACTATTAGACCCCTTGCAGTTTTCCTACTGTGCAAATAGATTGGCAGATAATGCTGTCAATATGGCACTGCACTATACCTTGCAACATTTTGAATCCCCAGAGACCTATCCAAGAGTCCCTTTTGTAGGCTTCATCTCACCTTTCAATACCATCATTCCAGAAATTCTTCATCCAAACTGATGCAGCTAGCTGTGCTTGCCCTTACTTGTAGGTGGATTACAAGCTTTCTGACACATATAAAGCAGAAAGTGAAGCTAAGGAAAATCACACTGAATATCTGAACAATAAGCACAGGCACCCCTCAGGGCTGTGTGCTCTATCCCTTACTCTTTTCTCTCTATACTGATGACTGCATCTCTAAGGATCCCTCTGTTAAAGTACCGAAGTTTATAGACGATACAACAATCATTGGTCTCATTTAAGACAGTGATGGGTCTGAATATAGACAGGAGGTTGAACAACTGGCCTGTGGTGCAGCCTGAACAATCTGGAGCTGAACATGCTTAAAACTGTAGAAATGAGGGTGAATTTTAGGAGCCCTCCTATTCTATCATCTCTTACTATATTAGACAATACAACATCAACAGTAGAGTGCTTCAGGTTTTGGGATTCTATAATTTCCTAGGATTTAAAATGGACACCTAATATTAAAACCATCATTAAAAAGGCACAACAAAGAATAGAAGAGAATAACAGAGTTGGAAGGGACCTTGGAGGTCTTCGAGTCCAACCCCCTGCTTAGGCAGGAAACCCTACACCACTTCAGACAAATGGTTATCCAATCTCTTCTTAAAAACTTCCAGTGTTGGGCCATTTACAACTTCTGGAGGCAAGGAGTTCCACTGATTACCTGTTCTAACTGTCAGGAAATGTCGCCTTAGTTCAAAGTTGCTTCTCTCCTTGATTAGTTTCCACTCATTACTTCTTATCCTACTCTCAGGTGCTTTGGAGAATAGCTTGACTCCCTCTTCTCTGTGGTAGACCTTGAGATATCATAACACTGCTATCATGTCACCCCTAGACTGTGATGATCCAGGGTGGGATACAAAATAAACACAGTCACAAAAACAGGTGAAGCCCCTTTTATTCCTTCACTTTGCTTCAAAGCTCCAAATATCCTTGACTGGAAACAAAACCTCCCCCACAAGCAGTTATGAAAAGGAGAAAATGCTGTTTAAACTAAAAATGCCTATAAATTATAAAGAGTACAAACAACACAAACCAAACTGAAGCAATTAAGGGAACCAGGCAAGATAAGGGCTTGAAGACATCCACAGATATCGGAACACACACTGGGACACCAAACTCAGAGAGGAACGACAGACTAGAAATATTTCCACGCTTTGTTTCCAGCACTGGCCCATACAAATGTCTGTCTTTTTAACCAGTACTCACAGTTGCAGCCCATGAAGAGGATCAAGGCCCTTTCCTCCCCCGTAAACCATGCCATTCATGTCTCTCTCTTATCCTCTCCTCCCTTTGTGCCCTAGGATGGAGAGGGAATGGGCCTAGGTCTTCCTCTGACTGCCCAGCTGGCCTCTGCCCTTCCCCAGCCTCCTCCACAACCTCTGGAGCCACACTCCCACTCCCTGTCGGCTGTTCCTCCTCTCCCTCGGAGTCAGTCTCCAACAGGGGCATGACATAGTTCTTCTTTTCATAAGACAAGACATATCCAGTTCCAGCAATTATTCTTTGTCTTTTAGCCTCCTGTCTCCTAATCCCCTTTGTTGCTCTTCTCTGCACTCTTTCTAGAGTCTCAATATCTTTTTTACATCGTGGCGACCAAAACTGTCCTTGTGTGGCCTTACCAAGGAATTATAAAGTGGTATTAACCCTTAAGTAATCTTGATTCTATCCCTCTATTTATGCAGCCTAGAACTGTATTAGCTTTTTTGGCAGTTGCAGCACACTGCTGGCTCATATTTAAGTAATTGTCCACTAGGACTCCAAGATCCCTCTCACAGTTACTACTAATGAGCAAGGTGCCACATGTACACCTGTGCATTTTGTTTTTCTTGCCTAAATGTAGAACCTTCACTTTTTTCACCATTGAATTTCATTTTGTTAGATAATGCCCAATGTTCAAGAATCTCATGATTCTTCTGTATCTTAAGCCTATCTTCTGGGGTGTTGGCTATTCCTGCTAGCCTGGTGTCATCTGCAAATTTGATGAATGTTCTTCTTGCATCAACTCAGAAAATTCAGACTGCCCCAGGACCTGCTGATACATTTCTGCAGAGGATTTATTGAGTTTGTCATTTGTATGTCTATAACTGTAAGGAGAGGAACAGACTTAAACAAATAGTTAGGATGCAGAAAAAGTAATTGCAACCAGCTGGCCTTCCATTGAAGGCCTGTATATTACGTGCGTCAGGAGGGATGAAAATGTATCTACAGACCTCTTATATCCTGGATATAAACTGTTTCAATTCCTCTCCTTGGGACACTGCTACAGGAAACTGCATGCCAAAACAACTACAGAGACATTTTTTTCTTCATGCCATCACTCTGCTGAACTCATTCCCAGTGTATTGTCTTATATATGAGTATATTTACCCATGTAATATAGCTGTATACCTTCTCATCTTTTCTATTACTTTCTCTTTTTGTCATATTATTACTCTGTTGTTTTTCCATCTACACTGAGAGCATAGCATAGCAGAGCAGAGCAGAGCATTAGAATGGGTCCTCGGCCCACAAGTCATGGCTCACTATTGAACCATGGCCTATTGAAGCCATGGGAGAAATGGGCAAGTGCACGTGTGTGAAAGTCCACTTGTGCAAGCGGCAGGCAGAAGAATCTTGCATTTGTGGGTAAGATTCGTGTGAGTGGAGGGCGCTTGTGCTCATGCATGAAGTTTCATTCGTGTAAATGGAGCTTCATGCACAAGTACACTCTACTCATATGAGTGGAGCTTTGCGTGTGAGTGTAAATTTCTGTTGCTCACACAAGTAGAGCTTTGCACACGAGCACAAGCACCCTCCACTTGCACATGAAGCAGTATTCTCACAAGTGGATCCGGCACAGGAAGCCAGGAAAGCTGGTAACCTCCAAGGAGCTATAACCTCATGTATGCTCATAGCAGAAGATGCCACAAGGGCCGCACAAATGCCTCCAGACAGCAGTCTGGACTCAGGGGACTGAGGCTACGAGCGCTTTCCATCGGGTCCGACCCTCGGCAGCAAGATAGAAACAGGGCTTGGGGGACGGGAAAGATAGTCTCTAGGTGACTTACTTGGTGCCTCAGCTCTTTCCATCTCCGGGAGAAAGCACCGAAGATGCGGGATGGGGAAAGGAGGAAAAGAGGTGCGAGAAAGCCCAGGAAAGCAAGCGGAAGGGGGAGACACCACATTTGCTCAAGGACGGTTGCTTTGCACCGCTACGGAAACACAAGTCATGTCTCGGCACTTAATTCAGTGGCCAGTCTCCCCCCACCCTCCTCAAGGCGCGCTCTCTCTCTCTCTCTCTCACACACACACACACCTGGTCTGACTGGAATAAAATGATCCGGCGAGCTCCAGAGCAGCAGGCGGCACAAGAAGGCAGAAAGCAGGCGGTGCAGCCATGCCTTTCTTCCTTTCCCCCCGGGAAAAGGAGGACATGGGCGACGAAGGCCAGAGCATGCTGCAGCCGCACCTTTCTTCCTTTCACCCCCAGGAGAAGGAGGATACAGGCGATGGAGGCCGGAGCATGCTGCTGCCGTGCCTTTCTTCCTTTTCCCCTGGGAGGAAGACGCAAGTGGTGGCGGTCCTGGGGGGATGAAAGAAAGAAAGCGAATGTCCGCAGCGGTGATATTCCGGGAGGGCAGGATGGGCGGAAATACCGGGCTGCTGCACATGGGCACTTCCGCCGCCCCTCTCAGCCCCTCTCAGCGCAGTAGAGATGCCCCCCAAGGGCCGGCTGCCCACCCACTGGCCAGACCAGGCCAGACTGGAAGTGGCACATCCCCTGGGAGAAGGAAGAAAACAAGCGGCGCTGCTACTCCGGCCTCCATCGTCCTTCTCCCGGGGGGAAAGGAAGAAAGGTGCAGACACAGCAAATTGCTCACATGTGCAGCCCGGGACATCCGCCTTCCCAGTCCCACCAGGTGAGCCCAGGGATTGGGGGACAACAGCTAGCTAGGCCGCAACCAGCGCTCCCACCTGGGATGGGGCTGTGCCAGCAATGAAGCTAGCCAAGCGAACCCGGGAACGGTGGGGGGGCCTTGGGAAGCTCGGGGGACAGTGGGGGAGGGGGAGGAAAGCTCCTGGGACTAGTGTGACTCACAGGCTTACCTGTGAGTAGGAAGATCAAAGCTGCTCAGTTGGGGCACTGGGCCAGGCACCATGTGGGAAGGCAGGTTAAGCCATGAGGACCCGGCCAGGTACCATGTGGGAAAGCAGGTTATGCCATGAGGACCAAGTGTGGAGTGAGGAGTGACTGGGCAGAGCAAGCAAGAATCGAGTGGGTGGGGCAAGTGAGCGACCGGTGACTGAGTAATCAGTTCGTGGGCATGGCCAGCCAGAAGTCGCTACTGGTTCGGCGACCCACACCAAATTATCGCTGCCAGTTCTCCCGATCCGGTGTGAACCGGCTGAATACCACCACTGGTCTAAACCTCATCAAATAACAAGGGAGAATATTTGTAGCTTGTCAGA